TACCATTTTTTTCGCTTAATTAACTGCCACTTATGCGGAATGTCGCATCGACAGTCAACTCATCTTATCAATTGGAGAATAAATATTATAAATATAGACGGCGCCATACAAGAGACAATACGTATCAAGAACAAATAAAATCAGTGAGTCGACTCTCAACTCTTCTTTAATTATTGTATTATAAGATATCTTACAGAATAAATAGATAAACATATATTGCAAAAATTTAATATTTAAATTAACATATTAAATTATAATCACAGTTTAATTATAAAATTTATAATTATATGATTATATGATTATCAAAATGAATTAGTTGAAATTATTTTTGACATTTAAAGTAAAATTCTTCTTAGAAAATACAAATAATATTAATCAAATAACATTAATAGTAAACTCTTTCTTTCAACATTTTCTCTGACGTAAAATGAATATTTCAAAGTGTTTATTACACGAAGGAGATCATTTGTTAATTAAAAAATGAATTAGTTAAAAGTATTTCCGTTGAAAGGTGTAGTTTACCTTGCTCTGACGTGGGATACATATACCGGGTGTCGTTTTGAAACGAAAGCTGGAACCGAGCTACCGATAACGATAAGCTCGCGATAAAGGCGACTATATTTAGAACTCCAATGAGTTGCTAGTGGAGCAGGACGAACGCCGAGCAGGCAGAAGTAAAAAAAGCAATGGCTAATTTACCGGTTTGAAATGTGCAATTAATAACATGGAAATTCTAGAGTGTATAATGACGCCTCGCCGATTCGCTTCGCGAGGAGCGAGTTTGGGATTTTTATGGATTCCAATTAAATCGGATCCCCTCATTACGAGGGCATCCCATGTGACATATGGCGCCCACTGTTCCATTCTGTGAGTTTAACTTTTTGTTAGACCGTGTGCTCGATATGGCGTATTAGCGGCTAGATTTTCAAGACATCCTCGAATTCCTCGAATGCGACTTCTTCATTAGAGCTTCGATTTACAGAACCAGTCTTTAGGGCAACATAAAAATACAACTGCTTCTCTTGTTTGGAATCCGCCGTGAGCCTGCGTGTAATTAACGAGTATGAAAAAAGAAAACGAAGCCGAACAATTTATCTCTTCAATGTGTAATTATAATTAATTTTCTAGAGCAATGTAGATATTATGGCTCGTTAGATCTTTAGAATAACTTTGGAACAATCATAATTTGGAATAACCAAAAATAAAAATAGTATACCATTTATAAAGTTTTATTCTGTATTTTGTTATACTAATTAATAATTTAAAATTTTATATTTTTATACACTCATCATATCACAAAATATTTGAGAATAAGAACAGTGACTGTTGAAAAATTTTATATTTCTATATTTTTAAATTAAAAATTTATTTTTAAATTATTTTTCATTTAAATCTAATATTTTTTATTGTTTTAATATATTTTTACTTGTATTGCATAGATATAGATATGATGCATACTGTAACAGCTGCCATTATCTCTCGATAGCGTCTTATTACCAGCTGTAACGTAAGATCAAGGGCAGAAAACTCAGTTCTTGTGTTATCAAAATCTCCTTTATGCACGCTTTTATAAATAACGGCGGTGATATCACGTGTGCACATTATGCAAGGTGAGGTGCATGTCGATAACTTCGTTCGGGGTACGAATACATTTCGCAGAACAATGCGCTCGCAATCAATCTAAAGTCCAATATATACATAAGTTGAGAGACATAATAAAACAACTCGAGGAAAATAAGAAGGTGTTTGTAGTTTCGACTCTCTTGATATCTTTTCGATATTAAGTGTCGGTGCTGGATTTGTCTCATAGTATAGCGATAAAAAGTCATCGATGCTCCGTTTTTGACAGCACGTGCGCAATATTTTCAACTCGAAAAAAAAAAGATAAAAAACTTTGCACCGAAATATCCCGAGATATATTTCTGTTCTGGTGTATAACCGGGTGTGAGATATTGGAGCCTACCGCTCGTAACCGAGTGTCGTGTGTCCTTCTCGATCCTGACGAAGCGCAGACATTGTTTTGACACTCGCGTGCTTTCTAAACTCCCGTACTTTTCACTTTCATTAGCCGTTAGTCGGACGAAAACATAGTCGATCGACTGTCCTCTGATGGTCTTGTAATGTGAATTTTAGTAGAGCGATATTCTTATATATAAATATAATATATGAGTGATGTCATCGACAGAAGACAATGATTGACTTTTATTGTGTTCTCGTTATTAATATCTAATCAATTTCCTATAAAATTTATACGTCAGACACTTCATTATTAACAGATTAAAAATTGATTTTTTAAATTATTATATATATATATATTATATATAAAATTAATTATATTATTTTTTAATTAACTTGTAATAAATAGTAAAATATAAATATATCTCATTTTCTTCATTAACTTTGTAAACCATTCATTTGAATAATGCGATAAAAAATTATTATTGACACAATATCAGAATCGATGATTCATAACTTTGCATCTCGGTTGCGGTATAATTAAGGAAAAAAATGTGTTCAAAGATCGGTGCACGTGTATTAAACAACTTGCGTAAATGCTATTAACGTAAGCGCATTGGAATTCCAATCTCTGAATCAGAAATTTCGCTGTATTTACGCCCATAAAATCGAGCTTCTCTGAAAACAGAGTACAAAGTTCATTACGAGAAAAAATCTTTCTGCAGTCGGACTGTTTATGCCAACGCTGTATATCTTCGATTTTACTAGACTCCATTTATCATACCAAGTTTGACATTTCCCTATTGATTCTTAGTAAAAAAAAATCTTTGAGAATTTCCTAGCGGATTTATAAATACATCTAAATTATTTTTTATAAGATAGTGTAATTCGTTAAGCAATAAACGATACAAAAATATTTACATTGTTACATTTAATTAAGAGATTTAATAGCAATATATTGAATTGCAAATATTCGCGAATCATTTCCTTCCAGATTTCAAACCAGCGTGTCTTCCTTCTCAAAAGTCATCATAACGTTGCACAATAAGACGAAATGTAAGGATATAATCTCGACGAATCCAACTTTTGATATACGATTGCGCCAGTGCAACAACGAACTCCATTGTTGACATTTTAATAAGCGCATTGAAGGCATATAATCCCATGATTGTCGTTGAAACGTGTTTATTTCACACGATAGGGGCTCAGCCGGATCCGGATGGAGCCAACTGGATTTCGTAACATAGGTTCCGGTTTCACGCGACGATTTTAATTTATACTGGCTTTGGCGAAATCACCTCGCGTGAATGAATGTACAAGCACGTTCGAACCGTTATATCCGCATGTCTGCATTGGACCCGCATCAGATCCGAAAAAAGTGATAAAATTGTACGACTGGCTCGCAAAGTCTCATCAACTCATAACTCATGTTGGAAAGATGGATCCTTTGCGTGGAAAGAAACACATGTTTATAACATCAAATTTGACATCCCATCTTTTTATAACACTGGTACACAAACGTTTTTAATACCGCTTATTTATTGTAAGGTTTTTATTTTTTTTCTACATTTTTGTAATATTTTTTTCCAATTTTTTATAATATTTTAAATAATTTTTTAAATAATATTTTAATTAAAACTATTTTTTGTTTAAAAATGATTTATAATTTAAATATATATACTTACTCCAAAAAGAGCGGTACACTTACAATTTGGAAACAAAATCACCAAATTTCAAATGACAATAACTTTGTAAATAATAAAGATAGAAAGGTTTCTAAAAAATGAAAATAAAGCTTGGAATCTCTGCTTTAAGAATCTATTTATTTCAATGTTGCGAGATAAATTTATTAAAAATGGCGGATTACAAACCGAAAACACGCAAAATTAAAAAATAACGTTCGAATTTACTAAGACATATGACGTGAGTCAAATGTCGCAACTCAATGGATGAAAAGCATACGATAGTATAGAGTTTCTCCTTTAAAATGCTTCTTTATTCATCTTGATACGATGATTTTTCGCAGAGTTATTCACATTTAAAGTAAAAAGCTGCCTTTTTATTTAAATGTGAATAACTCTGCGAAAAATCATCATATCAAGATGAATAAAAAAGCATTTTAAAGAGAAAACTTTATACTATCGTATGCTTTTCATCCCATTGAGTTGTGACATTTGACTCACGTCATGTGTCTTAGTAAATTCAAATATTATTTTTCAATTTTGCATGTTTTCGGTTTGTAACTCGCCATTTTTCATAAATTAATCTCGCAACATTGAAATAAATAGATTCTTAAAATAGAAATTCCAAGCTTTATTTTCACTTTTTAGAAACCTCTCTATCTTTATTATTTACAAAGTTATCGTCATTTAAATTTGATAATTTTTCCAAATTTTAAGTGTACACCGCTTTTTTTAGAGTGAGTACATACATACATACATATAAGTGAAAAGAGGATAAAATAAAATTCCACGTAAGAAAATAAGATGATAGAAGTATGTGGATGTGTAATAAGTTCGCAGAATTAATTAAATATAATAAAATAATTTATTTTTAGAAGTGTAGACTTTGCTTATTTTTTTATGTACATATATCTTACTCGAGCATTCTTTGCTCTGCACGAAATTACGTCTATTATCCTAAATACAGTAAGTCCGGCAAGCGGATGTTAGCGTATGTAGTGGCATCTGCGAATGGGGCGATCTGGTGTCTGGTTTATTTTCGGTGCGCGCATCCCCTCATAACCATAGTCGTATTGGAAGGGTTGATAGCGTTTTATGTCGCGTGCGTGGGCAACGTCTCGTCTCCAAGTTAATTATGGACTAATTGTCAAGGGCCGTTCTTTGGAGTGGTTTTTGCCGCCTTGGCAAAACAGGACGTCCCCTTCCTTCCTGCCTTCATCGCTGAAATTAACTTCAAACTGAAAGAAAGCAAATTCCTCCTCTTATTCTTCTATAAAACCCTCTTCGACAAGTGTCATTGTTTAATTTTATAGAGTGATTAACCTTCCAGCACCTAATTTAAGCCTGCAATTCTTGTTACAGACCACCATCAAGGTCTACGCCAACTGTTTGCGACCGGATATCGAGTACAAAACCCTGAGTATCACCTACCAGACGACCTGTCGCGAAGTCGTGCAAAACCTTCTCAACAAGTATCGCATGAGACATCGCGATCCTCGATTATTTTACTTGATCATGGAGGTGACCGTGAGGAGGGCTAACGTGCGCACGGTTTTACCACTCGACGAAGACGCAAGACCAGCCGTTCTGCAATCCTGCCATCCTCGCGGCGATTCCAGGTACCCCTTTTTGCTCTTGTACTTGGACTCCCGACTCTTTCGGTGGGTCGGCTACGTGACGTAATTTCAGGGCTCGTGACCATAAACACGTCCCGTGGGTCACTCGAACACGGCCGGTGTAATTCTCGGACGCAAATTGTCGCGTGGGATTTGTTGGGAAATGTAAATAAGGCTATTCGGTTGCGGAATATTCGTGGTATTTTACGGTGGTCTCGCTCGTAAACGCCGTGGATCCGGATTCGAGAATATGATGCACGAAGAAAATACACGAAACACGCATTTTCACAATTTGCTCGTTTATGAAAATAAGCCGCTGTAGCTCTTAGAACGGTCTTCCGATGTTTTTTCTTGGTAGTACGAAACTTCCGGTGCGACTTGTACGCGTAATACAGGACGAGAGCGTTTGTCTCTTCCCGGCGCAAACCGGTGCTTTTTTAATGCAGCAAAGTAACGCTCGTTGCTTGTTCTTTGAACTTCCACCGAGTTTTATACTAGCGTCGCGGAAACTTCGGCATGTAAACTTGCGTGTGCTTATATAATGTGTGCGCCTCCTCCTTGTTTGCAGGTTCTCGTTGCAGACGCGCCGTGGCGGACTCGTCAAAATATACGACAGCGCACTCATGTCCGGGGTAAATAAACTTTTACTCTTTTACAAGCAAACGGAGATATAACAGATACATTTTTTAATTAAACATAATATATGAAAGAAAGATTTCTTTTTATACCAAAAAAACTGGTAATTTTTTAATAAAATTGTTAATTATACACGTTTTTTTGATTAAAAGCTAAACAATAAAATATTATATTATAAGAATTAAACGTTAATAAGATATAATAAAAATTATTCCATTGTGAAAAATAATTTAAAATATATAAAGTCTATATTCATATTATTTCTTAGTATTTTATGATGAAAAAATTTAATATATTTTGCAATAATTGAGGACTTATTGTTTACAGTCAAAGTACAAGAGCCTTCTGGTCTCGGAGCAGACCACCGTAGACGAGTTGATCCAAATGCTGTTGAGTTGCTACAGCTCCAAGGAACCAGTGGAGCAGTTTTCTCTCTACGAGGTCTGCGAAGGTGAAGAGTACCAAAGGAAGTTACACCCTGACGATTCCCCTCTAAAAGTCACACAACGGTGGACCAGCACGGATCGACATCTTCGCATCAGGCGCAATCCGGATTATAGGCGGAAGGTATTGCATCCGATTGTTTATTGTAATATTCTAATGATTCGGATTCTTGTTTAAATTTATACGAACAAAAGTATTTTTATTATATTTATGTTTAAAACATTTTTAAAATTTTCTATTTAGCCCAATAACTGATTCTATTTGAGGAAGTAAAATCCGTCTCATAGTCACAATAATGAATCAACTTAATGACAGCTTCTCCGCCATCGATCTCTGAAGAATAGAGTATAGGAAGTACTATATGCATTTCATCCTCTCAAACAAAGACACTGTAGTCGTCAAATTTAATCCGTATATAATTATGCAGCTATCGGAATTATTCATAAGAGCTTAATAGAAAGTCAAATGTCTGTTACACAATCCGACGTCGTTCCAGAGCATGTGGGCGTCCGACTCGAGCATCATGACGAGGTTGGATCACCACGACAATTCTCCCATCCATTACACTCCGAGGATCGACAACAACAATCACTTGAGTCTGCACCACCTCGCCGGAAAGACCGTCAGCATTACCACAAACAACAACAACAACAACAATATTATTCATCGGGATCAGCATCACTCGGCGTCCCTAGGTTCTATCAATCAGACGCCGCGAATCGTCATTCCTCGCAGCGCGGAACTTCCGCAGATACAGCTTCCGCGGGTGCAGCAACTTCCGCAGAGCGTCCCGTCGACGCCGATTTCGTCGAAACACGTGACTGCCTCCTCCTATGCCGATTACGAGAACTATCTCTTCATATAAGATGAGAGCAAGTTGAAAGAAATCGAGGATCCGACTCGCGAAACGGTCAGAGTTACCAGAGACTTATTGGAGATCTAGGAAACAGACTCCTTTGTAGACTCCAAGTACTACACGGAGAGAATTTTCTCTTAAAATTTACCCTGAAAATCGTAGTAATTGTGCGACAATATGGTATTGGAAGAATGTTATAAGAGTTTCTTTGATTAATATTTACCACAAAAAAAATATTAATATGTAGAATTTACTGTGTATATAGTAAATTTTATTATGTATATATTAATATTTTTATTGTGGTAAATATTAATCAGAGAAACTCTTACAAGATTCTTCCAATACCATATTGTCGCACGATTCTAAATTCTAAGAGAAAATTCTCCCTGTGTAAAAGCACCATGAGGCGTCAACAAATGTACCTTTGAATTGTGTTGGAAAAGTATTAATGAGTCCCCTCGGTGCAAATTCAATTTACTTAGTTCTTGCTTGGATCTATGATGATAATTTTAATTGATTTTTTTTTTTTTTACTGAGAAGATCTAATTTGCATCGAAACTGGAGTAATAATTTCTGACCGGGTATTGTGATGTTTGATTAATACTTTGACAAACACATAAAAAGAGCATTTTTAACAAAAAAATGTCTTTAGCTTTATTTCATTTTCTTCGTTCCAATCATAGTTTTTTTTTAAGAAATTGGAGAAGAAGTAAATCGCAATGATTAAACGCTCGTTTGCTGCCTGTATTTTAGCTGATCGAAGGTTGACAACACTGAACAAAGAGAATTTATTATTATATTAGTTAATAGTGAGGGAAATTGTACCAAAGGTAGACATATGAAATTTTTTAGTGTATTTATACATGTATGTATAAATAATATGTGCTGCATTCTCGTATGCGGCTTCATCAAGTCTGACAATAAATTTAAGATTTTAATTATTTCTATAATTTGTCTATAACACTTTTCTTATGCGTTCGAAAAGAAAATGTCAACTTGATGTCTCGGAAAATAAATTTTATATCTTTATATCTTCTATAAAAATAATTATATCCAAAATTATATCGGATAATTTTAACAATACATATAAAATCGTATAACTGCATAGTTCAAAAATAAGACGCGAGAAGAGCTTTAGATATGTATTATTATTTATTTATGTAAAATGTAAAAAGCGTTTACTTAAGTTCACGTCGAAAATAATTTTAAATAATTGTTCAATCTCTCTTGTCTCTCCAAAATTTTGTACAAACCGGTCAAACAGGATTCCGGATATTTCCTATGCATATATAAATATTACGGGAGAGAGAAAAACGTGTTCAAGTAACATTCACTGTTATTGTTTAGCGAATCGCCTCCTAAAAATTCGTAATAATCATTTCTCCAGTTATGTATGTAGATACATATTATTCTTTCTAATCACGTGTAACTACGGAAGTGTAATTTATAAAACGTCAAACCGATTGCAAACACATTTGCTCCCATTATCGCGAAGGCAAACAACCTTATCGCATTGTAATTAATCAGCTGCGAAGCAGTAATGCAACATCTTAATTCTAAGAAATTGTGCGAAACACTTTGAGACTTATCTATACGCGATCTTCATCGTTTCCGTACGGTGGAAATGAATAAATGAAGATCCGCTACGTTTTATATTTTATTGCCAAAGAGAGGGAAAGGGAGATACGTATATGAAAAAAAAAAAAATACAAAGGAATCACGCGGTGTCGAAAAACGGCAGCCGAATGTGCATTTATATACCTACAAGAGTCTTTGATGTATGTATGTATGTCGTTTGTAGTGTGCGTCGATAAAATATAGTTTCCATGTCGAATTAATGTATCTATATACGTAGAGTGTAAATATTTTTTTGTATTGTCCGTTTATATTTTATAAGAGAGAATATCGAATAAATATGATTTATATACGTGTCCTAAAAAAAAAAATGTGTTCTTATTTTAACTTTGCAACGTGGAAATTTTTCATCAGCCCTTGCGTTTGAAATATACCTTTTTTATATTTATCTATAATATATATAGCATATATATCTAAATAAGTGCGAAAAATTTTAGATGATTCTTTGTCAAAAATTAAGAGAAGTTTCTTATATAAAAAACATAAAAATTAAGTTTTTCTCAAATTTTTAATTTCTGTAATATATATTTGAGAAAAGTATATATTTGTATAAGAAATCACCTTAATTTTCGACAAAGAATCCATCTCCTAAAACGTGTCGCGCTTATTTAGATTCACCCTGTTTATTCGACATAATTGTAATACCATTTTTTATAAATATTCTATTTATATTATATTTATATTTAAATATATTTAAATATATATTTAAAATATATTTAAAAATAAAAATATATTTAAAATATATTTAAATATATTTAAATATATTTAAATATATTATATGATTAAATATATTACATGAAATAGACATAATCAAAATAGTTTTCAATTTTGCAAGAGGGAGCAATACAAACTTGCCGACGTGTCATGTGATGATAAAAATTTTATTTACAAATGCGACAAATGTAGGGGTACCAGTGACATGCGGGAGAGAATCGTCCATCGATGACACGACGTCATCATGATACTTTTTTTTTCGCGACACTCCTTCGCTCCTCGTCTCTCCAAGACGTCACTGGCGAAGGAAAGAATCACTGAGAGATGTAACAATAATAATCTTTACATTAAATATATACGATTAAAATCTAGTTACTTTAAGGGCTATGCGGGAGGGAATTACAATAATAGAAATATTTGGTTTCTCAAAGGGAGGAGCTGTTACAGGATCTTTCGAGGGTAGGGGGTGGGGGAGGGTAGGTAAATAGGGTGAAGGGGAGGAAAGGGAGAGCCTGGGAATATACCTCTTCTCTCTCTCTTTCTCTTTCTCTCGTTTAAGTTTCAAAGGATAACATCACAGCATTGACATATCAACATCGAAACGATCGGAGCATCTCGTTCCTCGAAAGTCATCTCGAGAGTGACTTGATAGCTCTCATTGAGGCTATTTTAATTCGATCCTTCGAAAAGGACTCTCGAGGAGCGCGCTGCAAGGGTCGTAGCGCTTTTCATTTGCTATAGAATAATTTACAATATCTCATTAATTAGACAATTCTTTCAATTCCGTCTTCAAACAACTGCGCGCATCATATGCAAGCTGTGCTTTTGTTCTCTCATTTGCTCGTTCACTCGCACACGCACACTTTCTCTTTCTTTCCTCCTTTCTCGATTCCTTTACAATTAGATAATCGAATAGTAGCAATGTGATTGACACAATTCAACGCAATAGCTTACAAATGTTTTCTCTCTTTCATTCTCGCTCACTTCCTTCCTTATATCAGTGCAACAATAGTGAAATAAAGCTCTCTTCTCTCAAGGAAAACGAATGGATCGCCAGTGGATCACGTGGAAACATATTATTATTATTTTACCACGTACTGAAATATTTTCTGCGACACTGATCGCGCGCGCTTGTATGGTGTGTGGACAGTAATATAGATAATATACAGAGAAAATTCTTTGATCCGACGAACCAGCCACGAAAGGGAATTTTTATTCGAGGACGCTCGCGCGTGCACGAAGTCTATATCGTTTCTTCGACAATTCTTATGCACACGCGACAGAATTGCATCCTAATCCTCTTAATGCGAGCGTTCAATCGGCCCGAATCGACACGACACACATACAAAGTTTCGAAACTCTAAAATATCTAGAAATTTAGAATATTTATAAAAAAATGGTATTACAATTTTAAATACTCGACAGAAATTAATGATGTATAAATATAATATATTTAAATATATTTAAATATATTTAAATATATTTTTAAATATATTTTAAATATATATTTAAATATATTTAAATATAAATATAATATTTATAAAAAATGATATTACAATTTTAAATACTCGACAGAAATTAATGATGTATAAATATAATATATTTAAATATATTTAAATATATTTAAATATATTTTTAAATATATTTTAAATATATATTTAAATATATTTAAATATAAATATAATATTTATAAAAAATGGTATTACAATTTTAAATACTCGACAGAAATTAATGATGTATAAATATGTTCTTATTTTGAATTACATTTTTAATTTATATTAATTTATATATTTAATTTTAATTAATTTCATTTTATTGCCCTATGAAATTGATTCTTATTTCGCTGATGCATATTTATATTGAAGGGTAGAAACGCGTCTGTTCGGACCGATATGGCCGCAGCAATCTTTCCTCTCTTTCTCTGCCTCTCTCTCTTTCTCTGCGCTATACAGATATACTTTCGAAACCGCCAACAATATTATTTGCGAAAAACCAGCTCGCCTCGATACAAGGATACGGGCAGATATTTCTAAGCATATCGAGGGGATTCGCATTTTGGCCGAATGTCACCCTTGCGTCATACATGGAATTCGCGAGAGCCATCGTAATAAGGCCTGTGTGCTTAATCCTCCGTTTGGACCTTCCAACCATATAAGGGTTGCATTCAGTGAACACGTCGATGGGACGAACGAGGGAAATCGTCGTCGACGATTCGGCGCTATTTTTTTAGCACTATAAGAGCATCGCAAAAAGCATTTGCAAAGCGACTAATAATAATTAATTCACTAATCATAAGCCACGTTACTCTATCTTAAGAGGTACTCAGGGACTTGCAATCGAAACTTTATTTTCTTTTCTTTTTTCTTTTCACACACGTCACATTTGTAATACTCGAGATTAGAATTATTTTACAAATACTTGAGAGTAATATAATCAAATAATTAGCAAGCAATTGAGATAATTAGCTGCACAAGCGTAATCTAATCGATAAAAATAATCTGTCAAGAACAGATCTCCCGATCGATTCCTAGTATGAATCGTCATCGTTCCGAAGTTATATATCGTCGTCGACGATTTCGCCATACAATAAAATTTGTTAAAATTTTCACACATCATACAAATTCGTAGATTAGAGCTGCGAGTAGCTTCGAGATTCTCGATCTGATCGTACCTCGAAGCTAGACGTGGTCTCTCTCAACACTCTTCTTATACATCTTCTTATATCGTCTTTCGCGTGCACACGGTGCGACAAGATACTTAATTATACAAGTAATCGTTTAATTATATCGATATAATCAAACAGCGTCGAGCAATCTCT